CCTATTGGGATAAGCTTATGAGGATACTCCGGACTATGGAATTGTGTGTTCTATGTCTTCTTTCTACCTTTCTTGCCTGGTCTCTTAGCTATGGCTTTGCCTTTCCTAGATGGTTGTGAAGCATTGCCTTGTGTTGGTTGTGTAGCCTGTGATGGTTGTGGAGCATCAACATCATACTCATGATCCTCTTCATGTGTTGCATCATACTCATGCTCCTCATGATGTGTTGGCTCCTCTTGATGTGATGGCTCCTCTTCATGGAACTCCTCCTCCATGTCCTCATTGTTCTGTAGATAACGCCGTCTATTAGCTGTGGCGGCGCGGCTACCAGGTGCATACACGTCACTGGACTGAGCACCATGGCAAGAAAGCATTGATGCCATCTTATGAAACCGCTTCTTGAACTTCTGCAAAAATATGCTATGATATGAGATGCACATAAATAATCCGCGAAAAGAAACTTTTATAATATATTGATCACACCTCCATCGTGCTCCTAAGAGTCCTCTCAGATAATGCACCGCCAGGTGGATGACTCAGTGCAACATTGGCATCGTTGACGCACAGAAGCAACTCTATGCCCTGCAATTCATGAACACACCAAACTTATGTATTTGAAAGAAGACAACATGATGCAAGTATGTTAGAATAGGTCAAACAGACTACCAATTCATCATGCATCGGTGCATAGTCAACGTGAGCCCCTCTGGTGTCTCTCACAGCCATGTTGAAGGTTTGATAATCTTGTGCAGTCTCCGGCTCTTCAGACACCAACTCCGACCACTCCTCATGAGTCCAACCAGGCTTCAGCTTTAACCGGTAACGATCCGCATACCACACTTGGTAGTTCTGATATGCTGACTGATTGTGAGGTCTATTCTCTGATTGCACTAACGTGTCTCTTTGATTCCAAATTTCTATCCACGCACGGTGTTTGTTTGCCCAATCCGATATATCCTGATTGTTCCTTCGATCAAACCTACAAATGATGCACGGGACAAAGCATTAGCAAACATTGACTTATTCAATGCTCTACTACATACTCAAGGCATGCTTGCTTACCGATGCAGAGATAGAATTTCCTCCTTGCTCTCCTTAATTGGAATACCTTGTCTTCTTCCAAATTGTCTTGCCACACGGTCTACAAAGTGCCACTCGACTGCGAAGAAGCATATCATTGGGCACCTCGCCCGCCAAAGATGGCTATCACGCGTGCACATCTCATTAAGATCAAAGTCACGATCTTCCACATAAGGCAACCAATATACCTGCAAAACAAAGAGATACATTGTTAGCTACATAAGTTTCATTCTTGACTAAATTTTATCTCATCGAACTTCTCAAAACCTGCTCAGCAGTCAAGGTGTCCAGCTCGTTCATATAGCACTTGTATCGCACATGCGAGCTTCCTGTGTAGACTGTCACTTGTTCCCAATAGTAAGCAAGCGTAGGGCGCCGATAAGGATCATCATCATGCAACCCGTCATGATTACCCCGTGGGTTTGCCATGAGGGGGTTCTTGAAACCGGGCCGTCCTACCGGGATCCTCTCCCACATCCACACGGATAGACTCCAAACAAACCCAGACAATGAGGATGTATCTCCCTTCCTCCGACACGCCAAGTCAAGCTGCAATCAAACAAACATGTTAGATATGGAGGCGCATGACAAATGCAAGATAAATGGTTGCAAATATCTCTTACCTGGCGATACAAATATGCTAGTGCGGCCGAACCCCAGCTATACTGGGTATCCCAGTTATTGAGTAGCTCCAAGAACATCCAGAGGGTTGAGTTCCCGGTTGCATCTGAGAAGACTACCTTGGTTAGTACATACCAAAGATAGGCCCGCGTGTACTGCTGCACAACCACATCATTGGCACCCTAAGGGCACGGATTGGTGTTTCCTTTGACCAGTTTTAGCCAGGAATGCCTCACTCTTGCGGTATCGGCCTTGCCTTCCTGAGGGCCGTCGGGCTCAACACCAATTAAAATGCCAGTCCGTTCTCGCCAATTACCAACGCTCACACGACCGGTAACAGCTTGTCCGTTGATAGGAAGGCCGCTTATCATAGCCATGTCCTGTAGGGTCATCGTCATCTCCCCACATGGAAGGTGGAACGAATGAGTCTCCGGCCTCCAACGATCCACAAGTGCGGTCAGCGCCGCGTGGTTCACCGGCAGAGCGCGTCGCTTAAACTGCAACACAAATGGGAGAAGACCCAATCTCCGAACGTAAGGCTCGTACCGCGGGTCGTAAGTAAAGTCATCAGCAGAATGACCCCTATGCGCATAGCAACTACAAGCTGTAAATAAAGTGATGTTTTAATCAATACAAGAACACAAATGAGAAACAACGAAAATTGATAAGTCTAGCTTCTTACATCTCCCTTCTCAATGGCACGAGCACGATGCTCCTTATCCCACTCATCGATTAATCCGTCATACCAAGGTCCATCATCATCCGCCATCCTACAAACAAAATCACAAACATCTATGAATACATGAACAATATCAAACAATACTATTTCCTTCTTCAAGTTATGCCATATAAAAACACCATTCTTCTCACACATAACCACATCATTTCTTTCTTCTACATATGCACACATATCATCTAGAGTACCAAATTTCACCATCAAATAAATTCATAATCATCATCCGCCATTCTATTGAACAAATCATGGCACACACAATCATCAAATTTCATCATCTCTTTGCAAAAAAAACTTTGCCATCTATATATTCAACTATATTGTCATACCACTTCACACATATAATATTTTTTGTAAATATATTTGCTTGCCAAAGTAGTCTTTTCAGATTCAAACAAATATTATGCCATCTATATATTCAACATATAGCTAATTTACTAGCACATGCATACATCATCTTCTCAAATATACGCACATCATCTTTCAATCAAATAAAATTCTCAAACAATATGGTGTCACATAACCATATGCACAATTTTATCATATGCAACATCTCTCTCCCTTAAAACACTAATATTAAAAACATATGCAAATACATAACATCTAATTTATACAACCCAATCTGTGAAACAAATCATGTCACATACAACCATCAATTTCATCATCTCTTTTGCAAAAAAAAATAAGCCAATAGGATAATCTACATATGAACCAAACAATTTCAAATTGCATACATATTCAACAACACATCATCTACTATCTACAAATCAACTATACCATCTAACAACTACACAAAATTTACTAAAACAAAAACAACAAGTACTCATCTAACATCTCCCAATGATGAATAATGCAACCAAAAAGAGATGTTCTAATCAAAACAAATTGGAGGGAATGGAGGAGAATACCTCAAGAATGTTTGGGGGCCTCAGATCCACAAATTTGGGTGGAGGATGGAGTAGATCAAGGGGGGATTTGGTGTGAGGGAGAAGAGGGGCGAGAGAAAAGTTTCCTCTGTTCTTGCGTTCGGCCGCCGCCAGGGAGAGGTTGGGGATGGGTGGGCTGGGCCCGCGCGTGGTGTAAACCTACCAGGGCCAGACGACAGGGTCCTTGGCGTCTGGCCCCTTTGGCACGTCAGCGGGTCAACGGGCAGGCGGGCAATGCGGGCCAGGGGCCAGACACCAGGGTTCGTGGCGTCTGCTTCGCAACACAGACGCCAGGGATGTTGGCGTCACCTAAAAAGATCAGAAATGAAATTTTTTCCAAAGCGAGGTCAAATCGGAATTTTGTTAGCCAGAAAGGTCATAACAGTAATTTTGTCCCCTGACCCCATCTCTTCCCACAACGCGACGGCGCCATGACCTGGAGCAAGTCCCCGGCGGGCAGCGGCACCACCGCCGTCGACGCCGATGGCTCCGGCGACACCGGCCAGGCCCGCCTCGGCGAGCTCGGCTACAAGCAGGAGCTCAAGCGGGACCTCTCGTACGTCACCACCCTTCTTCTCCTCTCCTCTCCCTTGGTTTCGTCGCTTCTTAACTGATTGATTGATTGATTGAGGGCGTGTGTAGATTGCTGTCCAACTTCGCCTTCTCCTTCACCATCATCTCGGTGCTGACGGGGGTCACCACGCTGTACAACACCGGCCTCAACTTCGGCGGCCCGGCCACCATGACCTTCGGCTGGTTCGTCGCCGGCGCCTTCACCATGACGGTCGGCCTCTCCATGGCCGAGATCTGCTCCTCCTTCCCCACCTCCGGCGGCCTCTACTACTGGAGCGCGCGCCTCTCGGGCAACCGATGGTCGCCCTTCGCCTCATGGATCACCGGATGGTACGCTACTCAATCACACACGCACTCCACTCAAATCTTTCTTGTCTTTTGCTACCTCTCAATGTTCTCGAATGTATATCGATTTCTTCTCTGGTTGGGATCATGTGGAAGGGAAGAACGGAAGGAGAGGATCATGTCACGTGTGAACGAACCGCTTTCTGTTTGTTTTCTTTTTGTCTCGTGTGACATCAAATTGGTGCGTGCGAAATTTCTGCATCTCTTTCTTCTGTGTTTCTTTTTTTTCCGCTTGTCTTTTTTTTTCTTTTTGCAGAATGAATAGTTTATTACTCATTTATTCCCTTTGATCCATGCGTATTAATTATCCCTGATTTAGTACAAATAGTTCATTCAAATACAGCGTTATCATCGGGGATGCAAAATAGAATAATCGTGTCGTTGTTTAACGACGTGCTCCTTGGCAATGCAGAACAGAATATTTGTGTTCATAAGGTCATGTGCTTGCGTGCTTTGACCATGTGCAGCTCCCGTGGCCACATTTTGGTAGCAGAACCAGTGCCAACTGCAAATAAAGTCTGATTTTGACAGCGACCTGTGGTTGAAAATGTGCTAGTATCAGCATGGTTCTTGTAGTTGAGACAAAGACGTCCTTGCAACAAACGCACATATACGCATGGCCCATTTTTCTTACTGTAGATAGATATACGCTATTGATTGCTCATGCATCCCCATTCCAATTATTCCCGGCCTCTCATGACGGATTGTTGTGCTGCATGCAGGTTTAACATCGTTGGACAGGTAACCAGCCAGTGGCTCAACTTTGAATGCCTTCTCTCACTTTGTGAGTGACTGCTGTGCTGATTCAGTTTGCACGCTCTGCAGTGGGCGGTGACAACTAGCGTGGACTTCTCGCTGGCGCAGCTGATCCAGGTGATCATCCTGCTCAGCACCGGCGGCAACAACGGCGGAGGCTACCTGGCGTCCAAGTACGTGGTCATCGCCTTCCACGCCGCCATCCTGCTCAGCCACGCCTTCATCAACAGCCTCCCCATTTCATGGCTCTCCTTCTTTGGCCAGTTTGCGGCTGCTTGGAACATGCTAGGTTCTCTCCTACTAGTACTACGTACCTCTCTTCATTCGCACTTGCCCTACACGATTACTACTCTACTTCGCGAGCACTGATTCTCACCCAAGCTACTAGCTAGAGAATAAATAATCAGAGAGCATGCAGTTGGCATCCACTTTATTAACGGATGAGATGGATGGCTCTCCACGCTTCTCTGTCTCTGTAGGTGTCTTTGTCCTGATGATTGCCGTGCCGGCTGTTGCTACCGAGAGGGCCAGTGCCAAGTTCGTCTTCACCCATTTCAACACTGACAACAGTGCTGGAATACACAGCAACCTCTACATCTTTGTCCTGGGGCTCCTCATGAGCCAGTACACGCTCACAGGATACGACGCATCGGCGCATATGGTAATTAATTGATTAAGCCAAAGAAGAAGAAATCTCATCTCGTTGTCAGTGTTGATATGATCGTGTATGCATGCAGACGGAGGAGACCAAGAACGCAGACAGGAACGGCCCCATCGGGATAATCAGCGCCATCGGCATATCCATAGTGGTCGGCTGGGGATACATAATCGGGATCACATTTGCCGTCAAGGACATACCCTACCTGCTGAGCCCTGACAATGAAGCTGGGGGGTATGCCATCGCCCAAGTCTTCTACCTCGCCTTCAAAAGCCGCTACGGCAGCGGCGTCGGCGGGATCGTCTGCCTGGGCATCGTCGCCGTCGCCATATACTTCTGCGGCATGAGCTCCGTGACGAGTAATTCGAGGTGATCGTCCTCTGCTGGCTTGCTTCACGCTGCATTTCTCTTCTCGGAACGTAGTTCTGATGAGATCACTCGCTCGTTGTATCAATGACTAGGATGGTGTATGCTTTCTCGAGAGACGGGGCGATGCCGCTGTCACCCGTGTGGCACAGAGTGAACAAGCACGAGGTGCCCATCAACGCCGTCTGGCTCTCGGCTTTCGTCTCCCTCTGCATGGCGTTGCCGGTAAACCATTGTTCGACAACACTGCATTTCACTGCAACTACTACTACATACTACTGTAGTAGTATTTCATTTCCGGCAGAGTAGGAGTACCTCCAAATAAATTGATCCTGCTCTGATAATCCTGGTCTGTGATTGAAAATAAATTGATTGCAGTCGCTGGGTAGCCTGGTGGCGTTCCAGGCCATGGTGTCGATCGCGACGATCGGGCTCTACATCGCGTACGCGCTGCCCATCTTCTTCCGGGTGACGCTGGCGCGCAAGCACTTCGTGCAGGGGCCCTTCAACCTCGGACGGTACGGTGTACTGGTGGGATGGGTGGCCGTGCTCTGGGTGGTGACCATCACCGTGCTCTTCTCGCTGCCGGTGACGTACCCGGTGACCAAGGACACGCTCAACTACACGCCGGTCGCCGTCGGTGGGCTTTTCATCCTCGTCTTCACGTCGTGGGTCGTCAGTGCCAGGCACTGGTTCAAGGGACCCGTCACGAATTTGAGCGGCTAGTTTCGCGCGTGTGGAATTATTGTCACGTGATTTCACGTGGGAACGCCACGTGATGTAATTAGTTGTACGCTTTAGGCTGGTTGTATCTCACAAGACATGAGGTGGAGGCGACGAGACGTTGTAATTACTTTCTTCAACAAGATAGGAACATGGACTAATTCATACTGCCAGTTAACCCGGCAAAATGTTTGGCTAAGAAACTTCTTTGAACTTACCCATTACCGTGCTTGTATCGTTTCTCAGTATTTACCAGCAAGTTGACTAGCCTTGGATTATATACCCAAAGTTGATTAGCCTTGGATACTCACGGACTGGTGTGGTCGAGGGCGGGGCTCTGTTAGGACCCTGAATCTTCCAACTATATACATCTGACAGAGGCGAGGGTCTCGATCTTTGAATGAGATGATAATTATAGATTTGATGGAGAACTACTTGGACAATCCAACTAGAAATGTGCATAACGTTATGCCTCAACAATTGTTAAACCAATCTCCTGAGGTTACTGACGCCGGAAGCACAATCAACCTGACCACGAAGGTCTATTCCTGCATGCAATCGAAGAACAAGCAAGAATATGATAAAGCAATTTAAATATTGCGAATATAGATGAAGTATTGATAGAAGTGGGGATCCGAAAGCGGCCTTGGTCTTGTCATTGCACACAAACAAAGTACACGAAGTTGCAATGGCTAACTTTTAACTAAACAAATCCCAAGCAGATACCTATTAAATTGATCTATTTATATAGGAGCAAAGAGTGACGGCCAAGGAGGTGGGAGAACGTCTCAAGGCAGCCTAAAACTAACCCTAGGTCGTATAAGGCCCATGGGCCCAAGTGGACGTGAGACAACACCATTGAACTTGTAGTTTAACTCGGATTCTGCTGCATCGTCGACTGTTTCGAAAATATCTCCACTCTTCGGGCGAATTTGGAGGTGAATCCAATTGGGTTGAAAGTACAGCAAAAAAAACTTTCCAACGAAAAAAGAATCACCCAATTCAGTGTCCAGACGTAAAAGTTGTTGACGGTTTGAGTTAGGTATGTCTGTGCAGTTCGAATATGATGAACTTAGTCTCTATCTTCTCTTGAGCCAAAAGTGATGTGATGTGGCTTCTTGAACAACACCTAATCATTTCCTTTGACGCGAGAGGACTTGTTGAACAACGCCTAATCATTTGATTTTCCTTTATCTTCACACGTGATTCGTACAAGTTTTCAACAATTCTGCATTTAGGCATGAAATAAAATATGCGAAGTACTTTTGTTCCGGATAACATAATTAAATTATTGGATAATTATTATAAGAAATCACCTCATAAATATGCATGTATGCAATATTTTTGTTCGTATCCAAGGTAGCCATGTCCTCATCAACATCTGAAGAACTTTGAAGAACACCGCAGATTCAATGCTTTGTCAATTATCCAAGTGCCAGAAGGAAGCAAGTAAAGAAAGGTCGACGGCCCGGATGTAATGATTTGGAGCTAAACGCTTTTACCGATGCAATTCAAAATCCCCCCTCCCTCCCCGTGTCACCCACCTCTGGCGACATGAAGGGAACCTTAGCTGTCGCCGCCAGAAGCCACCCTCGTCGTGCTCTCCCGCATTACCGCCGCTAGAGGCCCAGCCTGCGAAGCCGCACCGGACCTTAGGATAGTGGCGGGGGAGGGGGGGAGGGGTGGATCTGGCCCCTTGC